TGGACATAACTCAAGAATGGGAAATGGTTGTCTGTAGGTCAAAATGAAGCTCATACTACGTGAAATATGAAGATGTATAATCTACATGCTCAATAGTCATAAGGTAATATGAGTCCATTCATAGTTCACAGAAGTGACCAGTAATTTAATCATCACTAGGATATAACATTAACTGTTTGGTTTTATTTACTATGTATTTATTCCTATTGAGATCAATCGATCCTTCTAATTTCCTCAAGAATTTACTTAAAACTAAACTGTGAATTGTTCAATAATACGACAAAAAGTGTTATCGATAACATGTAACGTATGCAGTGATGTATGCTACTGATATCGAAAGATATTAGTAGTGTGTAATATCAATCAGTATTGAAAGTTAAGAAGATCGAAGGAAAAAGAACAAAATGTGATGTGGAGTGGATATGAAAGCACAATGAAGGTCAAAACAATTGATTGACATTTTTCAAATGACGTATTTATGTATGGTTTTAGGAGAATTACAAAAGCCACCATCCAGAAGATACAAGTGATTACTAACAGTTATCTATGCAAAATATTTCACATCTGTTGGCCAGACACTATCAGCAACAATCTACTGCGAGAAAAAGTAGGATTAAGGATAAATGAACTGTCATTATGTCGATCTTCTTAACATATTTTTTAAAGAAATATTCTTCAGATGATGGAGAAATTTGAACACTCCACATCCGGCTGTAGTTTGTACTGATGATATTGTAGAGAAGAACGATGAAAGCTTCATGACCAAATCATCCAGCTCGGAGAACAAAACTCCATCAAAAAGGAAAATATTCTTCAACTTAAGATTTTAGTTGAAAATTCATTTGGAAATATAAATACTTAATTATCATGAGCTCATTATGATTAAAACAGTTCGAGTATTGTAGGATAAGATAGAGAGTGTTTAGCAGTGGAATATAGTTTGACGCGCGTTTCGTTCTATTTATGAATCTTCAGATGCTTATACCTTCATGACCAATTTGACGTTCACTCCGGAATTTGAATCAAGTACCGTTTTAGTGGCTAGTTGATCTGACTCCAATCAGATCGTATGAATGTTTGTCATCGTCTATCCTCGTATATAATCATCGACTTTAATCGCGTTAGTCAATGACGGAATTAAGTAAGTCAAATAATGAGAATGGACTTTTGAATACATATATTTTGTATATGTAACGAAAAGAATAGAGAGATGCACTGTGAAGATTGCGGGTAAACCAACTCTTATTTAACCAAGCGTTAATCAATATTTATAGTTAAACAAAAATAAATTAGAGACATGTGATGAGTAATGGGATAAGAAGTATACACCCACCTATGCGCTCATATAAAAACAGTCAAGATTGATAAGCGAATAAATAACAAGGTCAGAATGTAACTCAAGTAGAATGAATAGAATGGGCTGTCCGAAAGCAAGAATAAAGTTTATGGGCTTAACATAATAATTGACACTAAACCGTTCGCTTCCAACACCATCGCACTATCTACTATACTGATGAGACCTGATAGCCACTTGTTTGTACAACTGGGTGAAGTTTAAATTCGCTCAGTTTAATTGAATCTTTCCATTCTTATTTAGAACCGCAACTGATCAGTATCTTGTTGACATATGTACGTACTGTGTGTATTGCCTCGAAACTTCTTTTAATAACAAGCATTGTAAACAAAGGTTGGCAGTGGATAGTAGTGGAATCCAGTGCGAGCGATTTTAAACCTCAAAGGGAAGATTCAAGTATATGATATCAAGTGAATTTGCTTCAAATACTGGTTACAAACTAACCATTATATCACTTATTATTATTATTATTTATTATTTAAACACATAATAATTGGTGAATGAGGCACGAAATATATATGCGTCACATGAATCATTCGTTTTGTGAAGGCTAAGTTACTGACGGAGTGCCCAAAACAAAACAGGCGATCTTCTTATGGGATCATACCAGGAGCCTTTGACCTACAGGTTTAATCTACAAGGTAGTGGTACAACATAAAGAGATGAGTTTACATGGCAACCGGTTACCGATAATTGGTTCATATATGCCACTTGTTCACTCAGGATCCTGGAGTCCCTGTACACCATTGGTTTGGAATCAGGGTTTTCCAATCCTGTAGGTTGATTCTCCATACCCATCAACCCGGTTAAAGCATCAGTTATTCGCTTTTTGTTCTTTCAATCTCGTGAAAAACACCACCACTGCGTGACAGCAGTGAATAGAACTTCCTTGTCATTGGTAGTATGTACGTGACCAAATGAGAGTATTTCTTAAGGGAGAGCTAACTCTCCCCACTGTCGTTCGTATTAGGGCATTCAGGGGGCTTATTATCATTGATTATTAACAATACCGCAACATTCTCGATTATTCAATTATGAATATAACATTTTTACAAAAAATGTTATTAAAACAAAAAACAGAGGCAAATGTTTTGGAATTCCTTCATATTAAACTAACCTTATTTAGTTCATATCAATTAGATCTATTCAATTGTTCAATTAATTATGAAATAAGATATAAAACACAAAATGGAATTAATGAAACAATCAACCTTTTTAGGCTTCATTAAGAAAAATTTGAAAAAGACAAAACACAATCAACTCAAATTTTCATGATAAACTAATTTACATCTGTGACCGCACTCATGGAGGAGCATAGGCCATATCAGATGCCCTTGTATGGTCGAGAGTGGGGAGAGTTTGTTCTCTCGGTCTCGAAATGCTCTCATATGGCCACGCGTATATAGCCTCTGCCAAGGAATTTCTACTCACTACCTTCACGTGGCGGGGATGTTGTTTACAAAATTGAGAGGACAAAAAGCGAATGTCTGGCGCTTTAACCGAGTCGGTGGACACGGAGAGTCTACCTAGGGGAGTTGAAAAACCTTGATTTCAAACCAGTGTTGCACATGGTGTATGAAAAAATCGGTGGTCACAGACTACCATGTGACTGCATCTCCTTGCAAAGCTCTATTGCCTTGCAGAACAGACCTTTAGATCGGAAGTTTTTAGTGTGTCCCCCTCAGGAAAATACCTGCTTCGGTTTGGGCACCCGGGCAGTATCACGGCCCCCACACAAGTCTCATTAGATTTGTGTGGCGTATATTTATCTGGTACACCCTTTTATAAATATCTATGTATTCAAATAAATAAAATAAATGTTCAGAATAATATTTTCCATTTCTTCCCAGTTTCCATTCAACTTTTACGTGTGTGATTCAAATTCTCAACGTAATGTGTCATTTGACCTTACACTTTTCCGTTTCTATTCAGAATTCCAAGTTAGTGATTGATTCATGATGCAGTTTGATGATTTCAGCAATGTTTTTCTCATACACTTTCAACATCTTCTCCTTATTGGCTCTTCAGCTTGAAGAGTAGTTTGTCCTCTTCCACAATCGGCTGTCGCTAATGATGTCAACATCAACGGACATTGAATATCCTACACAGACAATTGTTTATAAATATTTGTACCTTTTTGATGATGATTGTGCTAGTTCTGGGCGTTTCAGCTCCATAGACTTAATTTATCTTGACGTTCGTATAAACGATTCTGACTTTGATATTAGTTGACAGACAGTTATCTTTAGTTCCATATCGCCTTCAAATCCAAGAGTGCTGTCCTTGTTTTCCCAATCCTCTCCCTTACGGCTGTGTGTTACTTTTTCTTGGTTTCACCAAAAGTATTTGGTATTATTACAACATACACTGGTGAAATAGACCATGGAAATAATGAGAAAAATTTATTATCTAGGTGAATACTTTTAGCTTAGCGTTTTGAATGACCAGTTTCAGGTTGAAGCAAGTTCACTTAATGCTTTCTGAGGTCATAAAGATCACCTATGATCTCTGTGTGGTGATCACTGTCATGTATGTCAGGCCTTTCTTGGTGCAGACTGAATTTTATCGAACAAGTTACAATGTGACCACTCATCCGAGCGATTCTAAATTGTATGCACTATGTTGAGATACGGTCTCTAACTGGGAAGATAAATGATTCGGGAACGAATCTGTTAAAAAGTATCAGTTCTCTCAAGATAAGAGGTACACTTTGATGACAAGTGCCAAATATCACGAAATCTGAATCCTTGGTTTCCTGTTGACTACTTCCAACCACCATC